TGAGGATGATATTGTGGATGACAAAAATGACTTTAATGAGCATAGGTTGTCTGATGATGAGGCAAATGGTGAATCAGCCCCTGTATGCTCAGATTTATGATCTCACCTTCAAACTTGGGATGTTGTTTAGCAGCAGAGCTGAATTAAACAAAGTAGTTGATTCTTATGCTATTAAAATCAAAAGGACTCTGAAGTTTACTAAGAATGATAAGTACAGAGTGTATGTGAAATGTGGTTATGAAGACTTCCCTTGGATGATTATTTGATTCAGGTGAAGGACTCAACCTTATACAGGATCCACAAATTTCTTGATGAGCACAATTGTCCTCCTACATTTGATGTAAAAAATGTGAAAGCACCTTGGCTGACAGCTAGATATCTTGATGATTTCAAGACAGATCCAAACAGAAAAGTGAAGCCATGAAGGAGGGAAATAGTTCACAAGCTTGGTTGCCATGTTTCTAAGTTTCAAGCTTATAGGGCTAGAAGAAAGGCATTAAACATTGTGGAAGGGTGCCCTGACTATCAATTCACCAAAATGTGGGATTACAGAGAAGAACTTCTTAGATCAAATCTTGTTTCTACTGTTATTTTGGGTACTGATGATGCTGAAAATGGTGAGAAGAGGTTTAATAGATTCTATGTTTTCTTCAGTGCACTTAAGAAAGGCTTTAAAGCAGGTTGCAGGCCAATCATAGGAGTTGATGGTTGTTTCCTAAAAGGGCCTCATAAGGGAATTTTACTCACAACTGTTGGTGTTGATCCAAACAATAATCACTACCCTCTTGCATATGCCATTGTGTCTTCTGAAAATGGGGAGACTTGGGAGTGGTTTTTGATTCTATTGAAGAGTGACCTCGAAATACAAAACCAACAAGAGTGGACCTTTATTTCAGACAAGCAGAAAGGCCTAATCCAAGCTTTCAGGTCTGTTCTTCCTGATTGTCACCATAGATTTTGTGTGAGACATCTTCATAACAACTTTTAGAATGTTGGGTTTAGAGGTCTAGAGTACAAGAAGGCTCTTTGGAAATGTGCATTGGCAACTACTGTTGGTGAATTCAACCACTGCCTTGATGAGTTGAGAGAACTAAGTCCAGAAGCAGCAAATTGGCTCAGTGACAAACCACCATCAGAGTGGAGCAAGTCACATTTCAGTTAATCCCCCAACTGTGACATGTTACTAAATAATGTCTGTGAGACATTTAATGGAAACATATTGGAGGCTAGGGACAAACCTGTGCTAACTATGTTGGAGTGGATTAGGCAATATCTAATCACTAAGCTTCAAAAAAAATAGGGATAAGGCTGCCAAAATTTGGAAGGATGGGTTTTGTCTAAAAATTAAGGACATCATTTCAGAGAATATTGAACAGGTGGGTAACTGTATTCCTCTCAAGTGTGATCATGCAAACTGAGAGGTGTGTTGTTTCAATGGTGGGCAATTTGATGTCAATCTTGAGCTAGGGACTTGTACTTGCAGAAAATGGGGCTTGACTGGAATACCTTGCACTCATGCTTGTTGTGCAATGTTTTTGTCCAAACTAGACCCATTTGATTATGTTGCCACTTGTTATTCTGTTGATACATATCACAAAGTGTATGGACCAACTATAATGGGCATTAATGGTGAGGTGTTGTGGGATAAGAGTTTGTATATTCCACCATTGCCTCCAAACTTTGGCAGAGGTGTGGGAAGACCAGGTAAGTCTAGAAGACTTGAAACTGATGAGAGACCTTGTAAGAAGAAAAAACAAGGCAAAGTAATGTATGGACAGCAACTTAGAAGGCAACAAAAAAGTGTGAAGTGCAAGAAATGTGGTGTTGTGGGCCATAATAGGAAAACATGTGATAGGAGGACCTCCAATGAAAAAGCTGGGATGAGATCAAATAATGTTCAACCACCTTCTACATCCACAGTTGGGCTGGAGTCTAGGGTAAAATTCAAAACTTTGTTAATTAAAGTTTCTCTGTATTACTTCAACTTTTTTATATTATAGGATGGTGTTGGAGGATCAGTGCACATGACAAAGAAACAACAACAACATCCGACATAATGCCCCCTGTTTTTGAAGAAGCTGAAGAGATTGAGGTCCCCATTCTCACATAAATGTCTCAGTCAACCACAACCACAAACACAAACATTGAAGGACCCTCAATGTGGGATCAACTTAAGAAGGGAAGAACAAGAGGTCCTCCAGTTGATATCTCTCACCAGAAGAAGTTTAAACATTTGTCACAAATTTAAGAAGTGTGAACAGTTGATGGCTTGTTTTGTGCTCTAGTGACTGTTTTTATAGTAATATTGACATTGTCTGCTTTTGGAATTTCTGTAGTGAATGTGGTACTAGAACTTTTTTTGGAGAATCTGATTTGGAACAGTCGATGTATGATTTTGGAACCTCTAGTGCTTGCTATGGTTTGGTGTTTTTGCTGTAATATATTCTTCTTTTGGTGAAGGTTTTTGTGCAGTTGATGACCCATGTATAAGCTTGGTTGTCTTGGATGTTTGTGTAACATTTGTTAAACTCTGTTTTGTAGTAATATTTGTTAACTTGTGTTGTCTTCTCTTTTGTGTAGTAATTTCTGTAGTTGCAGTAATATTTGACTTCTCTATTTCTGTACATAATGTTTTTGGAACCATTAATGGTTTTTAAAGTGGTGTTACATGTATATTAGTTCATTAGTGGTTTTTGAACCATTAGTAGTATTCAATGTGGTGTTATATTCAAAAACTTATAACAAAAGCATACAAAGAGTTGAAGGTACAGAACACAGCTCCCATACATCAATACAAACTAAAGGTTGAACATCATAGTTGAAGGTACAGAACACAGCTCCCATACATTACAATAGTTGAAGTTTAACATCATTAAAAGAAGTTAATACATTACAACAACAACTGAAAACTATGAGTAACCAAAAGGTTTAACATCATAGTTGATAACATTACAGAGTGAACAAAATCAGACATAACCAATTGTTGCAACTTCCATCAAAAGCATTCTACTAAACAAAAGTACATAACAAACTAAAAAAAAAAAACCAGAAAAGCCACAACCATAATTTCATGAAGGAGTAGAGGAGCTGGAAAAACAACAAAAGACACATCCATAGAAATGCAGGTTCTCTTCATCCTTTCATGAAGCAGGAGAGGAGCTGAAACACAACAAAAGCCACAACCATAACAATGTAGGTTATCTTCATCATTTCAAGCCTCTTCTTCAATTTTTCATTTTCAGCTTCCATGGCATTCACCTTACGTATTAATCCTGGAATTATAGCCATTGACCGACGACACATTGGAGGGTCCTCCCATTCAAAAAATTTGCAACCTCTCTGAGAAGAAAAAAAACAAAGAAAGAACAGTTTCACTCAAGAACCCTAATTTGAGACTCAAGTACCCTGATTTAATTGTGCAAATTAGTTACTTTCCATTGAAGAGAAGAACCCTTATTTGGGACTCAACAAACCTAATTAAAGAACAAGAATCCCAAAATAGTACACTCAAAGAACCTTAATTGAATTTTGCAAATTACTTACCTTTTCACAGGAATGGAATCTTCATCCAGAATTGTCGTCGGTCCATGACATGCGAAGCACAGCTCTCTTCCCACAGTAGCAGTCAATGTCGCTCGCCGTGTACAACATTCTTCGTTCTCTGATTTTCCTTCAATTTGGCAAGAATGGAAATTGTGAAAGGTAAGTTATGTTGTGTTCCCCGATTTCGAATTTTTATCCCCAAATCGTTTTTCTTTTTTTTTTTTTCTAATTTTGTTTAATGAAATAATCCACATATCAAGACATGTGGATTTTATAGTTTTCTGTTTTTATTTTTTTTTATTTTTTAATATTATTTTTTTCAATGTGTCAAAACAGATGGGCCCACCCTCGTGCCACATCACACCGGGAATGGAAATTACGAGCTGATTGGGCGCCACATCATTTATTCCGGCGAAAATGGGCACCGGAATGTCATTTTGGACTAAAATTACCAAAAAAAAAAGTTAGTGTACCAATTGTAAACCGGAAACAATTAAAGGACGAAAGTGCAACGAGAGCAAAGTTAGTGGACGAATTGTGCAATTTTTCCATTGAGTGAGAGATGAAAAATTTTCCTCATGTTAAAAAGGGAACAATGAACTTATCCACTAAAAAGATACCACAATACCACATCATAATCATATAGGGTTTTTTTTAATTGAAATTGCACTAAGTGGAAAACCACTGTGAAAGCCCCCATTTTGTAGTCCTTATACCCAACCACTAAATATTGAATCAAATTATTCTGTTGGCCAATTAGGCTTACCCATTAAGTTACTATCAATGGGATTTTCCAATTATTCTATGCCTCATCTAGTTATGAAAAAAAAAAAAATGGGGCATAAAACATCCAATTGCAGCCAATCGAAACAAACACAATTGTGCTTTAATTCACAAATTGCAATTCCTCGTACTTGTCAATTTTCCCATTGATTTTGCCCCATTTATTTTAAAATTATCATCTAACTTGTCTACTATGTTGTACTAAGAGTAGCACAAGTAATTCTTGATATATATATATAGTCTAAATTATAGATCAAAGTCAATAGCTAAATTGCAACTTGAGCCACCAAGTCCTTTAAGGCATCATTAGTTTGTGCAATTCTCTTGATGACCCTTTTTGACCTCGCCTGCAAGAAAATTTCAAATTTTAGTCTAATGTTAATTATGTAATACATGGTTCATTTTCTTAGGCACATATTAATATAAAGTATACTTATATTGTTAAATGTCATGTTTTTATTTATATTACTAAAAAAATACGTCTGTGTAACAGTAACATCACTGTAAATGTTATTGTCGGAAATCTTAGATTTTACTGCAATATAAAACATAAATTAACTTTCATATATTATATATATACCTCAATATATTTATTATCTAAAAAAAAAATCGTGTTAATTTGTAGAAGAAATATAAATGTGGTTTAATTTCAATTTTAAATAAAAAGACGTACATTGCTTATAACATGGCTGCTTAAACGCTGGATCAAGTGATCTTGCTGAAGGTTCCTGACCAAATATTATTTCACAGCTCATATCATCAAAATCTGCAAATATGTATTTANAAAATAATCAAATAAAATTAAATCGGTGACTCCATGTATAGTTCAATTCTTGGTCACTTGTTATTTATTTATTTACTTATTTTTGCAGATGGACGTGTAGTCCTTACTCCTTAGAGTTTATTTAGAAATTTATTTTCAAAATTAATTAAATAGTGCGGTAATTCACATTATTAGAAGTTGGAACTAATGAATAAATGGCTTTTCTGGGTCAACGATCAGCATTAACTGCCCAGTGCGCATACTGTTAATTTCACAAGGCCCTTTTTTTTTTTTTTTAAGCAAAAATAAAATAATATCAAATAGAAATTAAGGTCGTGACAAATAAATTTTTTATTTTGGAATTTTGTCAAAACTTCAGCATTGTAAGACATTATTTGCAATGATAATAAATTTTTGTGGTAAAAACTACTCTTTTTCTAATAGTTTAATTTGCTAGCAAGTAATAATATTGTAAAATTGCTTACTAGGCACCATGTTGACTGATGTTCCAAGAGCCTCCTTCATAAACTCTTGTGAAGGGATCTTGCAAAGGTTAGTGCACATTCCCACACAATTCGTCTCTTTCAAAAACCTAAATAAGTATATTTCAATAATCACACACACAATAATTTTTATTTATACCCTATTCAGAAAGTATGATATATCGACCAAATAAATTATTACACCGCCTCAGAAGAATAGATTTTCTTTGAAAAAAAATTGTTTTAAACCTAAGAAAAGCATAATGTATATATGAAGTAAATTGTTGTGGTAAGAGTTTGAAAATCATAATTTACATCTTAATTATTCTAATTATTCAGGTTATGAATTTAATAGGATGGAATGAGGAAAGCACAAAATTAATAGAGTTGAAAAAGACAAATTAATTGAATCGCAATATAGGCATCATGTTTGTGACTATATAAAGGGTCTGACTTTTGTGTTACCAAATAAGAAGTTCAACCCAAAAACTCTTTCTTCTCACCAGTTGCTCAAATATTAGGTCCAAACATAATTCTAATTCACCAAATTTTATTCGGTTTAATCGTTATATCCTGGAAAACAGAAAATCATACGGTACGAATATGTTTCAATAAAATTGTGTTCCACATGCTCTGTATTTAATTTATAGTCATTTTAATTTTTATTTTTTCTATAAAGCTCCCAACAGAAATCCACCAAACAAACCATTAAGCTGCCTCACAAAAACATAACTTGTGATGAGTGATACATTTCAACGTGCTAGATACATACTAATCTCATTGGGTTACTTATATCAAATGCTATTTACCCCCTAAAATCATGCAAATTATACCTGCATTCGGATATATAAACGACATTCTTCTCTCTTTTCCCTTCAAAATCTGACTCCCTCACCTACAAATCAAAAAGTGGACACAATATTCCAGCCTTAGATAGAATTGGGAAAATTACAAGTTCACCTTCAAAACTTTATTTATTTTTATAATTAAGATTTTTTTAATACAAATACACCAATTATTATATAAATAGTTGATTTGTGGTTTATCGATTTGTAGTTTATTCTTGTCGCTGTTTTCTAAATCTTATTATTATTATTATTATTATTATTATTATTATTATTATTATTATTATGACCCGTTTATGTATGGTTTTATTTTGAGTGTCATATTTTTATAAAACTTCATAAACTACAAGAGAGATTCAAAATTCATTATATACCTGGCTGGAGTGATTAAAAATATATAAATAGAAAAAGAAAAATTTTTCCACAAAATTTCAGCCCTATATTGTTATTACTAGTATTCGATCTTGTGCACATACACAGATATTTAAATTTGTGCATGTTTAAATTATTATAATTTATATGTATACACATAATATTAATGAGTTAGATAATAATATCACATTTTAAAAATTTTGTCATTAGTAAAAATGAACATTATAAAATATTTAATTTCATCACTATATTGATGGCATAAAAAATGAAATGGATAATGTAGTTTTTATAAATTTGAGAGAACTCTACCTATTGATTATCTTAAAAATAATAATTATCATTATTATTATTATTATTATTATTATTATTATTATTATTATTATTAAATTTTAAGAGGTTTGATTTTATCACTAAAGCCAATTAGCTTATTAAAATGCTTAAGAGCATAAAAATTTTGCAATATAATATTATATTATTATTATTGTTATTAATAAATTTTAAGAGGTTTGATTTTACCACTAAAGCCAATTAGCTTATTAAAATGCTTAAGAGCATAAAAATTTTGCAATATAATATTATATATTTGTTGAACTTCTATATATCATGTAGTGTGAATAAATAATAAAAACATGATTACTTTAATTTAATCATTATTTAAAGTCATTGATTAAGTTTTAGTTACCTTTCTAAAAAAATATATTAGATTGTAACGGAAAAATGTGAAAAATTCAAATAGTTTTATCAAATTTTTTGTTAGCAATTATATATATATA